GTGGTAGGCATCCCACAAATAAAGTAGAGGAAGATGGGCACGGATGTGAGCTCAGGGCCAGTCTTCCTCAGCAAAAAGAGGAGGATTGGCAGCAGATGTTAGCTCAGGGCTAATCGTCCTCAAAAAAAAAAAACATAATGCATGTTCTCGGTAAAAATTCAAATAATCATGGAAATGTGCAAAGCAAGCCCTTTGCACAGCAAGTGTCGTCCCCTCCCCCACCCCCCCCCCCCCCCCCCCCCCCCCCCCCCCCCCCCCCCCCCCCCCCCACTCCCTGCCGCAGCCCCCTGTCTGGTTGCAGAGGTGATCCTGCTGGGGTATTTATTTTCAGAGCTGTGGGCTGTTCCCAGACCAGGCACGTTCTTTCCTGCCTCTGTGCCTTTGCACATGCAGTTCCCTCCACCTGGAATGCCCTTCCTCATCCTTCAGGTCCAGCTTTAGTCCACTGGGAAACCTTGCCTGAGTCTCTTCGGCACTGCTCCTGCATTCTGCACCCGCTTCCGTCACAGCCATTTTCTTGCTGTATCAGGGGGTTGTTGGTGGGCTTGGCGCTCTGGCAGGGCTCTGAGGTCTTGGGGACACAACTTCACCTTCTTACCCCTTTGTCCCTATTTATTTTCAGTGGAAAGTCTGGGGAGCCTGAGGGGTCTGACCGGTTTCTCCCTGACTTGAGCTGGAGCCCAGCTTGCGGAAGACCCACAAGGGGAACACTCAGTGGCCCTCCTGCCCCGAGGTCCCTCTCAGCGTTGTCTGTGCCCCAGCCGGCCGGCCTACCATTGAGGGCTTCCGGGCCTAACCTGCTCCTCTATGTCCAGGTGCCTGGTGCCGGTCAGGCTGGCTCCACAGCAGCACAGGGTCTGCCTGTGGCCAGCGACTTTGCTTCCCTGACCCTCAGTCTCTTCATCGGTCTCTTCTGTGACTCTTCGACCCAACTGCCAGGGGGGCGGTGGGAGCTCACTGAGGCACTGAGGATAAACACCCAGCTCGGGACTTCACTCAATATCCATCCTTGGCTCCCTTTTTCCACCTTGAGCCCTCTCTATGATGGCTTAGAAGCAGGCTGCCTGGGCTCCAAGTCCTGGAGAGTGTCCGACGAAGTGATGAACACGTGCCTTTGTTAAGGCCTCCTGAACCCTTCCTTCCTTCCACATTTACTGAGCATCTGCCTGTCCAGGCACTGGGGACAAAGGGGTAAGAAGGTGAAGTTGTGTCCCCAAGACCTCAGAGCCCTGCCAGAGCGCCAAGCCCACCAACAACCCCCTGATACAGCAAGAAAATGGCTGTGACGGAAGCGGGTGCAGAATGCAGGAGCAGTGCCGAAGAGACTCAGGCAAGGTTTCCCAGTGGACTAAAGCTGGACCTGAAGGATGAGGAAGGGCATTCCAGGTGGAGGGAACTGCATGTGCAAAGGCACAGAGGCAGGAAAGAACGTGCCTGGTCTGGGAACAGCCCACAGCTCTACCTCGTGGGAGGGTGATGAGCGACCCACAGGATCTGGAGCCCCTGGTCCAGGAAGTCGCCCCGGGTTGGGCTGGGGTCCCCGGATTCATTTCCTGGACCCTCTGCCTCCTTGACCTCCTTTGCTCCCTGGTGATTCGGAGGAAGTAGCCCCAGCCCCAGCTGCACAAAAGGAGGCTTTGATGCCGGAGAAAGGGGGTGAGGAAGGAGGGGCGTGCTGCTGTGTATTTTTGGATGAGTCCCAGGACCCTGTTCCTCCTCCTCCTTGGACACCATGGCAACCAGGCAGCAGCTGGGGGGAACGACTGGCAAGTGTGGGGAGCCTCTGAGAGCTGCTTGGTTGAGGGGAGCACTGGGGGTGCAAACCTCCTGCTCTCACTCGCGGCTGCCCAGCCCAGAGAGAGGAGAGCAGCTCTGTGGCCCTGCAAGCTGCTCCCTCTCTCGGAGCCTCAGTTTTGGCATCTATAATATGGGGATAACAGTAGAGTGGCAGCGGGACTGACAGCAGCTGCTCTGCTCCCGTCAGCCGGGGTCCTCCGGGAAGCAGGTGCCCAGGCAGGATTAACTGGGGGAAGCCTGTGAGAGGAGGGCAGGAGCTGGGGAGCATTATGGGTTGCCCTGCCGTCGGGGGTTCGGCCAGGCTGTCGGGGAATCCTGAGCCAAGTGGCACATCAGAGGAGACCTGCATCACTGCAAAGGGGCCTGCCCATGTTCCTGCCACGCTCAGTCACTGCCCAGGGGCACCCAGAGGGGCAGGCCGAGGCCTGAGCGCGGGGATGGACTTTAGAGTGGCAGCCGGGTCCCTGGTCAGCCCCCTGTAGTTGGAGGTGTGAGTGGGCATCTCGTGGCTGCCCTGCTGCATGAACCCCTCTCCCCCTGCTAGGCACCGGGGCTAGCTACCCTCCCTGAGCCTCGGTTCCCTCGTCAGTGGAATGGGGTAACGCAAGGCTCTGCACAGGGCTGCTGGGGAGGGGGTGTGACTCCAGCACTGGGCCTGGGGGGCCGTCCCCAGCCTTCAGCCCAGGAGTAGCTAAGGTGGGATGGGCTCCCTGCCCCATGAGGAACGCGTGGCCCGTGGCCATGCCAGAGAAGCGGGAGGGGGGTCGCCGAGCTCCTGGGGCTCAGGAGCAGAGCCTTGGGCGAAGCCTGTCACCCAGGGTCCCAGGGCCCCTTGGGACGGCCTGAGCCTGCCCTGAAGGCCTGCTGGGCCCTGCCAGCTCCACACCACGTTGCACCCCTCAGCCACACACTCACGCACACTTACTCTCACATTCACCCACGCATAAAGATACCCTCTCACACACAAACTCACACTTACTCTTACACACTCACACACTCTCTTACACACTCACACACTCTCTTACACACTCACACGTGCTCATGATCTCAGGCGGCCACACACACTCACACTGACCACTCCTTGGAGCCATTCACGCCAGACCCGCCAGGCAGCAAGTGGAGGAACAACCCCTTCCCGGATGCCTGGCCTCCCCTCCCTGCCCCTCCTCCCCTCCTCTCTGTCCTTCCCTCCCTTGCTATCCCCTCCCCTCCCCTCTCCTGCCCCTCTCCCCGCCCCTCCCCTCTCGCCTGTCTGGGCCTCCCTGCCTCTCCCTCCTCCTGCCCCAGTTTCTGGGTCCTCCCAGTGGAACTCTGAGAACAGGCAGTTCCCGGCCCGCCCCGCTGCTTCCCTCCTCTCCGACCCGCCAGCTCCCTCCTGCCCTTTCCGGGAAGGTTTGGGAACCAGGCGGAGGGAGGCCAGGATGGAAGCCCAATGGGCTGGGAGTGGAGCTGGGCAGAGACACAGGCCCCAGGGGTCCAGGTCTCGGCCGCCTCTCCAGGGCCGAGTCCATCTGGGGAGGCCAGGGGCACCCCAGGTTCTAAGCAGGCATCCCACGCCCTCCCCACACCCAGCTCCTCCTGCCCAGATGCCCCCACCCTGGTCCAGGGCCCTGGTTACCCTTCAGGATAATGCGACAGCAGCCCCTCACCAGTGTCTGCCATCCAGCCCCCAGGCCTGTCACTGTCCTGCGTGCTGGTGGCACACCTTCTGGGTCCTCAAAGGCACTCTCCTTGCTCCTGTGCAGGGAGGGGGTGGCCAGGGTGAGCATGGCCTGTGGAAGCCCAGACCCAGGTCCCACTCCTGCACCCACCTCTAGCCCCACTCTCCCAGCAGATGGGGCTGTGTTGACACCTTAGCCGCTGCCTGGCACAGGGCAGACGCCTTCCCCCCAGCTGTTGTTCCTCCCTGCACTGCTTCATCTGATGCATGGAAACCGGTGCCTAGAGCTGGGCCTGCCTTGCCCCACGTCGCAGGTGAAGAAGGGTCAGCCTCAGGACCCAAACTCAGCCACCTCCCTCCAGGGCAGAACTGAGCCTGCCATCTACACTGCCTGTCTACACTGCCTGCTACACTGTTGTTAATAATAGTGCCAGCCATTGAGCACATAGGGGTGCTGAGTTCTTACAGAGAACGCCTCCAGTCCTGAGAAGCATGTTTACTAACCCCGTTTACACTGGAGGCATTGGGGGCAGAGAGGGGAGGTCAGGGCACAGGTGCCAACCCGGCTGGCCTCTCCCAGGCCCTCCGCTGTGCCAAGGTCCTTCAACCCTCAGGGCCTTTGGACGTGCTGTCCCCTCTACTGGTGTTGTTCCCCTCTCTCTGTGCCTCTCCAGCTCCTAGGTTCCCTTCGCGTCTCAGCCTGAATGTCACCTCACTGGAAAGCCCTCCCCGCCGGCCCCTCTCCCCTGTAGGCCCTCTCACAGAATCCAGTGACCTGCCAGGAGGCACTTATGACAATGTGCCCAATCTATATGGATGTTTACTGGTGTTCTGCACATCCCCTCTGCTGCCCATAACTTCCCCAAGGGCAGGAACAAGGCATCCCTTGTCACAGAGCCCGGCACAGCATCTGGCACGCAGGAGGCACTTGGTGAATAGATAGGACTCGCTGGGGACAGTGCTGGGGGTCCAGGGACTACAGGCCACTGGCCCTGGGGGGCCAAAGGCTATCTTCAGACTCCACCATCTGGGCGGACTGACTGTGGTTCAGGCCAAATGGCTGGAGCTGGGCTGGGGTCTCAGGGAGGAAGGACAAACCAGGTCACAGTGCACGGGGAGGAGCCGAGCTGTGGGTAGGGACACGAGGGCCTTCAGGGGCTTGGCAGCCAGGGCTGGGGCATGGGGCCCTGCAACACACGGGACGTGTGGGGTGGGCCCAGGGTCAACATCGTCTGCAGGGTGTCCCCTCTCCAGGGCGTCTGTGCCCCCCGGAGGGTGTGGGCAAGTCACATGCTGGGGCTGGGGCTGCTCACCCATTACTGACCACGGGCCCGAGTCTGAGCGACCGCGACACAGTGAACCCACACGTCTCTCTAGAACGTGCTTCCTCATCTGCTCACTGTCCGTCAGCCTCACGCCAGGCCACTTAGACATAAGGGCTCCCGCGTCCAACGCTGAATTTTCAAAAATAGAATGAATCACAAGAATTTAATAAATAATGGTATTTGGTGTTAATTAATGAAGCTTCAAAATAGACAAGCGATTTTGAAGGGATTACTAAACATCACGTTTTTATTTTCTTTTGGAGCCAAACCGGAAAGTACTGCCAGGAGAAACGGCCGCCCTGGGTGTGCTTGGATGAGGTCTTTCTCCCACTAATTGTTAGAAAACAGCCGGCAGGTTCCCCAGGGCTGGTGGCCGGGCAGTGCGGCCCTGAGGGCCCCCTCCTTTGCCCGCAGCCCAGGGCCTGGAGGGAGGGGGGCCACCCGCTGATGTTGAAGCTGGAGGACGGGGCCAGGAGCCAACGACTGCAGCTGCAGAAGCCGGAGATGGCCAGGGACGTGATTCCCCGAGTGGCTCCAAGAGAGAGCACAGCCTTGGCCAGCCCTCGATTTGGGTCCGTGAAACCGACGGCTGACGTCTGCCCTCCGGAGTTGGGCGAGAATGACTGTGGGCTGTAATAAGTCACCACGTCTGTGGCCATGGGTCACAGCAACCAAACATACAGCATCCTTGGTTCATCCCACCGGGAGCCATCTTTTTCCTTCTCACCTTCATGTCTCCCTCTCCCCTCAGCAAAGAACCTGCTTGTTTGCTCTCCACATTGATTAAGCACTTCCTGTATGCGGGCACAGCCCCTGCTCCTTCCGAACACGCTGCCGGGCACTTCCATGCACACGGTCACGTGTATTCCTCACAGCCCGTGGGGAGACACCAGGGTGCGATGCCGGGTGGGCACTCGCTCCCCCTGGAAAAGCCTTCGGCGCACCAAGTCTGAGCTGACATTCAGGTCCCTCAGTGCGCACAAGAGCTGCGAATGGCGGTCCCGAAGCAGCCTGTGCATTCTCTAAAGACATTGTATGGCAGGTGGAAAATGCCCGTCAATGGCTGTGACTTCCTATGTGAAGCGGGGTCCGGCTTGGGCGCCTGCTGACCACCCCGGGGCCCTTGGACAGTCGGTCTCTGTTTCTGGGGTGCCGCCTCCCTTGTCGACTCTCTTAACCCCGCTCTCACGCCTGTCAACAGTCCCTTTGCCAAAGTCCTTCCAGAAAATCGTTTGCGCGTGCCATCTGTTTCCTGCTGGGACCATGACAGAAGTGATTTGGAAAGGAGACAAGGAGGGCAGTGGCCCAGTCCAGAGTTCAATGGAGGAGGTGCAGACGGACGCTCTCTGCAGTCCCTGATGGGCTCTGGGAAAGGACAGTGAGGCAGGGGCGGTGGTTAGGGAGTGGAAAGCCCTCAGGGCAGGCGGGACACACACCAAATCACCCCACATTCCTTTCAGGAGCAGCCGCGACCCATTTACAGGTGAGGCCACTGCAGCACAGAGAGGGAGAGTGACTTCCTCAAGGGCACACAGCAGGAAAGGGGCAGAGCTAGAAATGGAACCCTGACCCGCCCATGTCCTATGTCTTCTTTCCCCGTGGCCTCTGGGTAAGTGCCGCCTTGCCTTGCGGCCACTTGTTCTGATAGGCCTCACCCCACTGCCCTGCCTCCAGACCTCCTGCTGTCAGCCTGCCCCACCTGACAGCTCGGTGTGGACCCTGCCTCAGGAAGGAGCCACAGGAAAGAGCACAGTTAGATTAAAATGACGCGTGTGTCCCTGTCCTAACCATCCAAGGCTCAGAAATACTGGGGTCCAGAGCCAGAGCCCCCGGCCCAGCGAGGGTCTGCTCTCTCTGTCCCGTCCAGTCCCTCCCAGCCAGTGCCCTTGGCGGGGTCACGCTGTCCTGGGGCGGGGGCCTTCCCTGGCGTGGGTGGCTTAGATTACAAAGCACCATTATTTATTCTTCATCGAGCTTCCGCCCACCTGCCTGCCTTCCCTGGCAGATTTTTTTTTACCTTGAAAAGAAAATTGATTCAGGGTTCTGCAAACCACCCAAGTGACTTCCTGAATTAGCTCAGGGAGAAATGGAGCTGCGGCCGGTGCTGACTGATCTGGCTGCGGAGGCCACCCCTGCTCTGCGCCACTTCCTCTGTCCCCTGGAGGTCCCCATGCGGTGCGCAGCACCCCAGGCTCCCCCTGCAGCCCAGGGGCCCCTGCTGAGCCCTAACCCCATCCTGTCACCAGGCCTGCAAGTCCTGCCTGTGGCCCCAGGGTCCTCCAACCAGCCTTGGAGGGGTGGTTGGGGAGGCCCCTTAGACATAGGGCTGCACATGCAGGTGGGCACACGGCCCCCCGAAAAGCCTTGAGCATTGAGTCCGAGCTGGCATTCAGCTCCTGGAGTGGCACTGGGAGCCACTGGGGAGAGAGTGGGTGGGGCACAGACCAGGCGGGTCTTGACACTGGGCGGGTGGTGGACCAGGATCCCCAGGGTGAGGATGGGCTCGGGGGGAGGGGAATCGGAAGCGGCAGGGACCCAAAGGAACCCAATCCAGGGAGGGTCATTTCAACTCTCCTGTTCTGTCTGAGCTCTCTGTGCTGGGGACACAGAAGATGATGGGGGTGGGGAGTGGGGGGTGCTGTTCTGCCCCCGGGGAGTTCATGGTCAAGTGCAGCCACAAAGCGCAGAAGTACCTGGAGCTGGGACCAGGTACAGGATGACAGCCGGGGTGAGGCTGGGGGAAGGGCTGATGGGGGATGCCTTACATGGGGAGGAATTTGGCCTGCACCCCGAGAGCAGTGAGAGTCAGGAAAGGGGAAGGAGGGAGAATTCGTCTTCAGAAAGGTACTATAGGCCCTAGCCCCCATGGACGGGAGGGCGACAGGCAGGTTCCTGGGGCAGGATCCAGGGCAGGGACCAGGGGGTCTGGGCTGGGCCTGGCGGTGGTGGAGAAGAGGAGGGTGATGTTTTCCCGTTCCCTTGAGGGCCACACAGCCTGAGTTAAAAGCCGGTCTGAAGCCAGATCACCTGGCTCTACCTCTGGCTTGCTGGTCAAATCGATTCCCCTCTTCCTGCCTCAGTTTCCCCATCAGTACAAAGGGTTTAATAATAGTACCCATGTGACCGGGCTGCAGCGAGGCTCACATAAATGGCTGACTGTGTGCAGATGCCCTACCCTCGTCCTTCTGCTAGGGTGAGCGCTTGTGACTGTCCTAGCCGCTTCCCAGGTCGGGAGGGGCCTGGGCCACACCCACGGCGCCGAGGAGCCTGGGTGCAGACCTGGTGCTGAGGCCGCTCTGCTGCCGAAGGGCAGTGTCAGGCTCCGCAGCCAACGTGAGACCTTCGGGTTAGGACGCCCCAGGCGACCGGATCAGAGCACACGTCAGGAAGACGGTTGGAACCAAAGCTGGCTCTGTAGATCAACACTGTGGAAACCTCTAGGCAGACTGACAAAGAGAAAGAGAGAGGAGACACACTGTGCACTGACATTTCTGGTCCCCCTGAGGCCAGAGCCAGCTGGGTCCATCTCAAGGGTGGAGGGAGGATGCTGGAGGGATGCGGGGAAGGAGAAGCCCCCAGGGAAGCGGCACTCTCCCACCCAAGGAAGACCGGCCTCCTGACAGGCATCTCGGCAGCGCCCCTCAATCCCGCACCTCCTCTGGAGCACACCAGCAGCGGTCACATCTGCTCCTCACTGACCTTCACAGCCACCCTGGCAGGAGGCCACTGGCGTCCCACTTCAGGGACAAGGACACTGAGGCTGTCCCGAGGTCACCGGTAGAGTCCAGTGTGGGGCCTGAGTCCCCGATTCCAAAGCCCCATACCTCCTCCGCAGGCAAGGGAGATGCCCGAAAAGATTCCGAGGTAGGATGGGGAGAGGGTGCTCCCAGGCCAGCAGGCCTCAGGGCTGGGGCCGAGGGTCTCCGTGGAACAGATCTCATCAGTGGCAGCACTGCTTTAGCCATTCTTGGCGAAACGGGGTTTCCTGAAAAGGGAGAAAGAGGCTGCTGCAAAAGGAAGCAAATTCAGCAAGACCAGGAGACGCAGGAGGATGAGAAGAAGGGAGGCCACACTTTGGGAAATGTGCTTTGCAGGGGCAGCGCCACGTCCAGAAATTTCTGAGGCTGCACCATCACCCCAACCTGGGTCTGAATCCTCATTCTGCCTCTCGCTGGTGCGTGACCTTGCCAAGTGTCCTCAGCTCTCTGGGTCTCACTACCTGTGGAAGGGGGATCTCTTACCCAGCACAGTTTCGGGAGCTGGGGGACCACGGTGCAGGGCAGCGGCCGACTCAGGCTCGCGGTCTGGGAGGCGAGGGCAGCTCAGTGTTCTGGATGCCAATTCTTCACTGAAACTGTGTGGGGTACATATTATCTCCACCTCTTGGAGGAGGAAACAGGTTTCAGAGAACTTAAATATTTTGCCCAGGGTCATACAAGTGATAATGATGAAGATCAAGGCTGCCCCAGGGAGAGAAGGCCAAGGCGTCCTGCCCTGCATACCGATCTGTATCATCCTCCGGGAAGCACAGGACGTCCTGACCTGATGCGACCTGATTCCTATCCAAAGTTACAGGACCACTCGATAACCACACCCCACCTGCACTGATATCATTTTAGCGACTTTTGTACTTGATCGTTCCTTTGTCTTGCAAAGAAGTAACTCATAGACCTATGCCTTATAAATTTAGCCCTACCCTCAACCCATTGCAGCTCTTACTGCCCACGGGTCCTGTCCCCATGCCTGCAGCTCTTACTGCCCACGGGTCCTGTCCCCACGCTGCAGCTCTTCCTGCCCACGGGTCCTGTCCCCATGCCTGCAGCTCTTACTGCCCACGGGTCCTGTCCCCACGCTGCAGCTCTTACTGCCCACGGGTCCTGTCCCCACGCTGCAGCTCTTACTGCCCACGGGTCCTGTCCCCATGCTGTTCTCTGTAAAGAAGCACTACTATCAGACCTTGAGAGTCCGAGAAATCTTTCTTTTGACTGCTGGACTCACCGAGCCCCCATCAGTAAGTTATTCTAAGTGATCTGTTGCTGCATGACAAGCCACCCCAAAACTCAGTGGCTTCAAACGTTTCATAAGGCATTTAATTTTGTTTCCAAATCCACAGTTTGGGCAGGACTGAGTGAGGAAGGCTCTGCTCTGCTCTGCTCCGCGGCATCAGCGAGGCTGCTGGACCGGAGCTGGGGCTCTACCTCCAAGATGGCACACTCCTTTGTCACCAAGCTGGCGCTGTCTGGGGGCTGTGGCTCAGTGCTTGGGCTTCCTCACAGGATGGCAGCCTAGTTCCAAGAACAAGTGCTCCAAGAGACCAGGCCCTGCCTGTCTCCGAAAGCCCAGACCCAGAAATAAGCGCACCCTCACTTCCAGCATGTTCCGCTGGTCAAGCCATCGTGGGGCTTGCTTCTCAAAGAAACGATGTCAGAGACTCTGTGGCTGTCTTTCATCCACCACAGCAACTGAGCCAGGATTTGAACCCAGATCTTTCAGAAAGCTTTAAGCGCTCCTGCACCGAGACTTAGAGAGACAAGTGAGCTAACCTGGTAGACGTCTGCCCAGGATTGACCCATCTAGCTGGCTGTGCCATCTCACATTCACTCAGAGTAGGAGGAGTTAGTATTTTAAACCCAGATGTCTTGAAGGCCGGGCCGGGGCAGGGGTGTGCCGGCTCCAGTGGTCAGCTGTGGTCCCCCTCATTCCTTCTGCGAGCTACTAACCCCAGCTCCATCCATATGGTTCCCAGGGACGAGCCATGCTTGTGCACGACCCTGTCTCCAGCCACAGTATGATGGTCTGGGCGGGCATCTGCCCCCAGCTGGGCCAATGGTTTCCGAGCTGGGACTTGACACCAGCACAGGGAGTTGAAGGGGCCACGTTCACTGCCACGCGGAGAACATCTCTGGGGAGACAGAGGGAGGAAACCACGAGGCTGGGAGAAGCAGACAGGACAGACAGACAGGGCCCTGACAGCCTTCCGTGCCCCGATCCCCAGCGGCCAGCTGTATGGCTGCCATGGACGAGGTACCCCTGGAACCTCTCTCTAAATTGCCCTTTGCCGATTTCTGTCACTGGTCGCCAGGAGAGGCCCGACTAAGGAGCCTGGTCACAGCAGCCCAGAGCCCCCTGTGGCTTCCTCCCGGACAGGGTGCTGGCCTCTTCATTGGCCTTCCCGCCTCCCATCCGGCCCCTCCAGTCCCTCTCCACATGAGGCCACAAGAAGGTTCCAGATGCAGACCTGACCTCCTCACCCCCCTGCATTCAGCCCTCCAGCGGTTCCCCTTGATCCGGCCCCTGCTGGCGTCTGCGCCCTCCTTCCTGTACCCCACCCCATGGGGCAGCTCTTCTGAAAAATTTGTCCCTCTGCCCATACCCTCATGCCTCAGGGCTTCTGTTCATGCAGTTCCCTCTGCTGGAACTCCCTTCCTCTCCTTTTCATCTCAATAACTTCTCCTTGTCCGTCAGCCACATCTGGCCAAGAAGCCGGAGTAGCTATAGGGCACCGTGCTAAGAGGGTAGTGTTGCCACATCATCTGTGTTCTCACCCCAGCTCTGTCACTTACTGGCTGTGTGACCTCAGGCAAGCTCCTAAACCTCTCTGTGTCTGGTTTCCTCATGTGTATTATGGGAGGATGATCGTCCTGTCTGTTCCATAGGGCTGCCGGGAGCGTTCGATAAGTTAGATGTGCTCCTGGACGTGGGAAGCTCCGCAAAGCTCTGGATCTTACTACCACCAGAGACGCACGGCCCGGGCCGGCCCTGCCTGTGGCCTGCGAGACACCTCCTGGCGGTCACCCCCGCGCCCCGGGGACGGATGCCGGTCTCACCCAGCGCTGTCCCCGCGGCGGTCCCGCCCAGGGTCCCAGCCCGGCCGGCCACCGGCTCAGGGGCCGCCTCCCTCCCGCTCGCCCCGCCCCGCGCAGGGTCCCCGGGGCAGTTTCGGGCCGCCGGCATCCAGGCTCTCCGGGGGCGGCCGCGCCCGCGCCCCCTGCTGGCCGGCGCCCGTTACTGCGGGGGTCCCGCAAGCGCCCCCCTGGAAGGCGGCCGGGCATTGTCACCCCATCTCACAGGTAAGGACCAGGCCTTAGGGCCTCCAGTCACTCAGCCGGAAAGCAGCAGAGCCGGGATTTGGAATCGGGACTGTCTCCCCAGCCGACCTGCTTCAATACAGCGCGGTCCCCACTGTCACTCACCCGGGAGGCTCTGAGTCCCTCCGTCCTCCCTTCCTCCTGCCAAATGCTCCCGTCCCCCAGGCCCCATCCACCCTGGGAAAATGCCCTTGAGTCACAAACCTTGGCTGGGCGTGAACTCAAGCTGAGCCTGGGCCAGGGCTTCTAGGAGCTCCTGGCAGGTACGGGAGCCCAGCCAGAGATAAATGAGGTGCCGTCCCGCCCCTGGGGGCCACACTCTTGTGAACAAGTCAGTGGAAAAATCGCTCAACAAACGCTTGTCGAATGAACACATGATTAAATAAACATACTTGGTGACTGGCATAAAGCAGTCAAATCCTAGGTTGATTGGCAAACTCTTACTCATCCTTTGAAACCCTGTTCAGGGTCACCTCTTCCAGGAAGGAAGCATCTTCTGAAACCCTTCAAGGAGGTCACCTACTACATTTTACTTTAGGGCGGAATGTGATGCGTGCTATAGTCAGGTACAAAGCGCTATGGGAAGTTGGGGATGGGGCAGACGCTTGCAGAAGCAGCAGTGAGAGGGAGGAGAGGAGAAGATACTCAGGGAAGGCTTCCTGGAGGAAAAGGAGGCTTTGAGACTAACCTGGAGGGAGGGGATGGTATTGGGACAGGGGAAAGATCAAAGGGAAGTGATGCGTGGAGGGAAGAGGGCAAGCGTGTGAGTTTCCTGGGGCTGCCCAACTAAGTCCCACGAGCCAGGGGCTCAGGGCAGCAGAGACTATGGTCTCCCAGTCCTGGAGGCCAGAAGTCCGAGATCAGGGAGTGGGCAGGGCTGTGCTCTCTCGGAAGGCTCCAGGAGAGGGCCCTTCCTTGCCACTTTCTGGCTTCTGGGAGTTGCCAGCTGCACTTGGCATTCCTTGGCTTGTAGACATCACTCTAATCTCTGCCTCCATCTTCACATGTCCTTCTCCTGTGAGTATCTGTGTCCAAATTTTCCTCTTATCAAGACAGCAGTCATCGGACTAGGACCCACCCTACTCCTCACCTTAATTTGATTACATCTGCAAAGACCCTATTTCCAAATAAGTTTACATTCTTGGGTATCAGGGGCTAGGTCTTTTTTTTATATAGAATTTTTTGTGTGTGTGTGTGAGGAAGATTGTCCCTGAGCTAATATTCGTGCCAGTCTTCCTCTATTTTGTATGTGGGATGCCACCACAGCCTAGCTTGACAAGTGGTGTGTAGGTCCACGCCCAGAATCCAAACTCACAAACCCCAGGCCGATGAAGCAGAGTGCAAGAACTTCACCTCTATACCACCAGGCTGGCCTCACGACTTTAACATAAGAAAATTTTTGTATGTTGAGGTGTCTGGGGAAGCCATTCTGTTTAAACTGGATTTGGCCTAAATTTTATCTGAAGCGAGAGGTCTGACTTGTGGCTCGTCAAACACACTTTGTACGTCTGCTTTAACCATCATCCTCAGTGAAGAATCTATTCTTTGAAGACAAGAATCGACACCTCCCTTCCTATGACACCAGCGTTCTTTGAAGACAAATGTCTCTCCTGTGACATCGAGATCTCGTTGGCCTGCTGTGTATGTGCTACTCTATGACAAACCATCTCCTTGAGTCCTTGAAAGAATGTCCCCCTGTCACGCCTGGTGCTTGTCTCTTTGTCGGGAAAGGTACAGAGCTGTGCTGAGGGTCCCTGGTCTCTGGAGCGCTTCCTGCCTCTGTAAAGGCTGCACTCCCGGGCTACAGCCCTCAGTTTGGCTCGAATAAAACTCTCTCTCCCTTTCTTTTTTGATAGAATGGTTATTGATTGTTTGCATTGACAACTTGAACGTATTTTTTTAGGGGGAACACAATTCAACCCACAGCAATAAGTAAAGGTGACTTGTTCACATCTGGGAAGTGGGGAGAGACGGGTTCCATTTGGGAAGAGCCTAAGGGGCGAGAGCAGATGAGTGAAGATGCTGGAGATGTAAGTGGGGGGATCACAGCGATGCCTGAGTGCCCCGGGGCGTGGGCAGAAGGGGGTCAGCCAGGGGGTTGGAGGACTCACAGGGGGTCCTAACAGCCCCAGGGGTTGCGCCCAGACTCGGGGACAGGCTTTGTGCTTCCCAGTCATCTGTATCATCCTGTTTAACCCCCGTGACAGCCTCCTGGGTGGGGGCTGTTATCAGCTCCAGGTTACCGAGGAGGAAACTGGGCCCGTGAAGGCAATGGTGTCAGCTCGAGGGCCCACAGCTGGTAAATGCTGAACTCAGGTTTGCACCCAGGTCCAGCTGTCTTCACTGCCTGCACCCAAAAGCTAAGCCAGTGTGCTTGTGTTGTGCAGTTGCCTGTAGATGTTAACATGTTTAGGTGTGATTTGTGGGGGTATACACTTTCACAACCTTTGTTTCTTTTTGTGTTTGCAGACCTGGAGACAATGGCTGGAAACGGTGGCCTCTTTTAG